GTTAAAACTGTCGTGTTGTTTATCTAACCTTTCTATTTCTTCACACTTTTCTGATAGCCACAGTTTCCTTAGCTTTGATTTTCTGTTTGATTATTTTATTAATTTTTTTTGTACTGTTGTTCGTTTTTATTCTTGTGTGCCCTTCTTTCCGTCATCAGTTCTTTTATCTCTTGTGTGATCCATTATTTATTTTTAGATGATGTGTTTTCTTGAAGTTTTCGTTTTGTGATATTTCTCAAGATCTCCTCTACTTTCCTCCATTTATCTGTTGCTGTCAATTGCTTTTTCCTTTGTATTTCCTGAACTTCTTTGTGCGCTTGTTCTTTGATTTGTTGGTATATATCGGTTTCTTTTAGTTTTCTCAGATTGATTCTCGGTGTTTTGGCAGTTGTTTTTAATTGTTTTTAACTTAAGTTTCATGTTTGATAGAACTAGATGGTGCTCACTTGTTACATCTGCTCCTGTCCTATACTATGGCTTTCCATGTATATATTCTTCGATTTGGGAGTTTATACCACGTGTTTTTGATAATGAGTTCGTTATCTTTGCAAAATTGAACTAGTCTTTCACCTCTTTCATTACGTGTTCTCAGTCAGTGTGCTCCTACTACTTCTCCATCTCTTCCTTTCTCTACCTTCGAGTTGACGTCTCTGTCAAAAGGAAATCACTTATATTTCCTTTCTGCCTTCGTCTTAGTCCCCCTGTGAGTTCTTTAACTTTCCTATGTACATTGTGACTATCGTACAGAGTCTCAATTTCTTTGCATCTTTCCCTTGCTTATTCTTCTTTCGCTTCTCTGATTTTCGTTCTTATTAATATATTTATGGTTTTATATTTGTCTAGGTCATTTTTGGCCTCTCTTCTTTCGTCCATTAGTTTCAGAATCTCATCTGTCATTCATTTTTTTCATTAATGTATCTGTCTTAAGTGTTTATCCTTTACATTTTGCACTATTTCTGTAATATGTTTGATCGTTTGTTTTTGATTAGATTCGTCTCTAATTGCAGTCACTTGCTTAATTTGAACATACTGCATGAATATTTTTCTGTTTTGTTAGTCCACATAATCCGATATTTAAATTATTCGCTATATGTATATAGGGTTACCTCTCATTCTACAAAAAAAATTGTACGCCTTTGGAAGACCATAGAATAATCAAGAATAGTCATCACTATTTCCTGGAATTTAGTGCCTAAATTTTTGATACTCATTTATACACTGCGCGTCACAAAAAAGAGGCCACCTAAAATTTTTGCGAATCATACCACAAATTAACTGTCATTAGATTTTGTGTAATGGTTAAGAATATGGTCTACAGCAGTATGCAATGATTTTATTGAAAAATAAAAAAAAATAGCATTGTACATTTTTTCTGTTTTCTTTAAGTACAATTAAGTCGTGATTATTAATACTGTTTATTACCACCTCTATTGTGAATTACACTCCTCATTGATCAAATTCTGGATGTCGTTTTGAGGAAAAGTTTCCCATTATTCTTGGCCAGTTCATTTTTGGCACATCGACAGTTTCCACATATTGCGCTACCATCCTGGTTACGTGTGGCCGCGCGTTGTCTTGCATAAAAATATAGTTTTCTCCGGCAAACCCAGCAAAAGGCATTACATGCTCGTCTAGAATTTCGATAAAATATCGGTGTGCATTCAACGCTCCTCTATCAATAAATACGAGATCAGTACGGCCCTCGAATGAAATGCCTGCCTAAAACATTAACGAACCTCCTCCAAAGGTAGCATATCGTTCTCCACGTCTTCTGTATGTTTTGATGTGACTATCTGAGACATAAAAAACCATCCTGGAATCATCACCAAACAAAACATGTGTCTAGCAAACTGTAGTCGGCGTTGTCGATCTGCTGCTGTTAATAAAGGTCCTGTTGCTGGGCAGCGAGCCCTTAGACCAAATTCCCTCAACCTTTTTCTCGCGGTAGAAGTGCTTAAAGTCCACCCGTGAGCATTTTGAAAAGGGTTTTGAATTGATCTAGCCGTAAAGAACCGATTTTGCAAAGAAGTGCGGTGTAAAGAACGGTCTTCTCTGACCATCGTGATTCTTCTCGGGCCCGATCCTTTTCGTCGTTCGTGAGATTCAGTCTCTACGAATCATTGGTAAATTTTTTGGACCACACAACGACTGACTCCAAGTTGTCTGGTCAATTCTCTTTGACTCATTCCATTATAAATCAAAGTAACAATTTGAACAGATCTAGAAAATTTCTCAGCCATAGTTTTTAATTTAAAAATTGCACAAGTTTACTCTTCAAACAACTGTACACTAGTGACAGAATAGTCATATTCTGTGTGTCTGCAAACTTATTACCCTTAATTGCCCTGTTCCCCTGTTTGTCTGTGCCTAAAAGACGCTAAAAGTGTTTCTGCATTGTGGGAATTTAGTTACAATACAATAAATTGTAAAGTGAAATCGTTTTACCCTGTCATATTTCGGATTAACGCCGGAAAAATAATTTATGACTCTAGTTACAGCCACCCTCTGTTATGCTCTGTTATACTCTGTTATGCTTTCCTTTTCTACCTGCTTTGTGGTACCGAACCTCCTACTGGTCGGCTGTAGTACTTGAGAATAAATCAGCGCTACCAATTTTTTTATAAATCGTGAAAAAACGCAAATTGAATGCTTTGTGATGATAATTTATTGAAAAAACTTTTATAATTTTATTTCAAATAAAATTGTCTCGAGGAGTGCATCCATTCCTTGCGGTCGCATAACTGGATAATTTTAGTTGCTATATTTGCAAAAATAGTAAACAGTCTGCGGAGTCGAGGCTCTCCATTGACCGGACTCATCAGCCAATGACCGACGCGCCCTACCACCGAGGCCCCGCCCCCTCGTGTATATATTCAGAAAGCTCCGAAAAATCTCGCTAGTATTCAACGATCACCGGTTTTCAATAGTGACAATGGGTAACGTACAAGAAAACGATAGAACGCCTAAATATAAGTTTTTATCTCGTGAAGCGTCAAATTGTGTTGAAAGTGGAAAATTATTTTACTTTAGAAAAAATCAACATGGGACCAATTACATCAGTAATGGCAGTTCAAAAAAGGACAAGTGCAGCTTCTGGAATTTCAGAACGGACCTTGCAAAGAGTTCGCAAAATGAGTGAGGATGAATTAAGTAAGGAAAATAAAAGGATCCGTTTGCATCCGAAAACCCTCGACTTGGCACAAGGTATTAAAATCTCAATCAGAAATATCATTTATGACATGTACAAAGCAAAAGAACGTGTTACAAGAAATACACTTATTCAAAAAATAAAGGACAGAGAACTTTGTGATATGGATTTGACCAGTTTATCAAAAGTATTAAAAGCTATGAGTTTTAGATACATAAAAACCAATAATCTTAAAGTGTTGTGCGAGCTGTCCAATGTTGTTGGAAAAAGATGGAAATTTATAAGAAACTATTTAAAAAACAAGAATTCCGAATTTGTCAGACAATTTGTGTTTCTTGACGAAACATGGATTTTTGCGAAAGAAAATAATACCAAATCATCCTGGCAAGATGATTCTACCAAATGCTATTCGAGTACTAGTGCGAGTAATGGCAAAATATTATATTGCATGCAGGAAATACGGAAGGTTTTATACCCAATGCTAGTCTTATATTTTCTTCGACAAAAAAAAACTGATGATTACCACGGACATATGGACGCCGATATTTTTGAACATTGGTTTGAGGAAAAATTATTAAAAAATCTGGACAATCCGTCATTAATAGTCTTAGACAATGCTTCGTATCTCACCAGAGAGGAGGAAAAGTTTCCCACAAGCAGCTGAAAAAAAGAAGACTTAAGAAAGTGGCTGTCGGAGAAAAATATAGAACACGAACATCTAGTCTTAAAATCTGAATTATTAAATAAGTGCAAAGAACAGATTACTGAGAAAAAATTTGTCGTTGACCAAATGGCACTAAAATATGGTCATGAGGTCCTGAGACTACCACCATATCACTGCCGTACAATCCAATTGAATTGGTGTGGGGCATCACTAAAAACTACTATGATAAACATGCATGTAAGACCACCGACGAAGCCAGCGTTTTATAACTCTGGCAAGATGCATTAAACCAAGTCAATGAGGAACAATGACGGAAATGTATTGAGCATACTGAAAAAAAAAAAAAATTAGTCATATGAAATAGTTAAGTTATTGATGAAGTAAGACCTTTAATTATTCGTACAAATGAAGATTCGGATAAATTAGAATTTATGAATTAGAATAGATTTTAGTACACACTGAAAAAGAATTTTTGTTTTTTCAGCATAAATATTAACCACAATATTAATTTTTGAAGTTGCATGTGTAATATAAAAAATTTTTCAAAAACTTTAAATATCTCAAAAACGGCTATTTTCTCGAGAATGGCATCCCAATAAAAATCGATCCAGAATTTTATGTAGATTCTAAAAAAATAACAAAAAGCACAGTTTCTATTTAAAATAAGAAACTTAATGGCGACTTTCGGTACAACCGGAAGTGCTAGAAGAATGCAAATATTTCAAAAATGAAGAATGCTTTACATAACCCATTATTCCAAGTTTGCAGAAACCAGTGACGACCAGAACTTTGAAAACTTTTAACCAACATGTCGCGTGAATGATCCTGTATATTTCATACTCAATATTTATTAAGTTACATTATGATATTCAATTATTATAAAACATAATAGAAAGTTATTTTATTAAAAAAATCCCTAATGTGGTATTCTACCTGAGGCAAATCTGAACAGACACTTTTATTATTTATGCGACAGGCTAAAACGATCCTACTTTACAATAGAATAAATTGTAGAAACTTTAAAGTTATTGAAAAATTCTTACAAAATTCTAGGTTGCCTCTTTTTCGTGACGCGCAGTGTAGAAATATGATTTGTTATGTTTCTTTTAATTACAATCTACTGAGATTTATTCCAAAATATATTAAATATTCAGTATATTTAATTTATATTTTCTTATAAATTACCAGGAGCTTATAAATTCCTAGTTTATAAACGAGATGAGGAAGATGTGTAAAAACGGACCGGTCGTAACAGCTGCCATGACCGTTTTCGAAACCCATCGACAAAACTATAACAATAACAACAACGCGTGTAAAGCGAAAGAGAAGACTCCTATCCCGGATTACCGCAGAAATAACTCTCGTTCCCCAACAGATGAAACTAAAAATAAAAACGGTTGTTTAGTTGACGAAATTAGTTTTGAATCCGCCGTCAGGAATTTCGATAGCATCGCGGAAGACGTCCAGAAATTCTGTTCTACGGATTCACTCAAACGCAGAGGCGGCCATTCGATCATCAAGACGGATTCTCAATCGGACACCATCAACATCACGCAAGATACGCGAGATTTTGTCGAAGACGACGCGTACGGGAATGATGTGATCGCGAAGGGCGGCGCGCCAGGGACAGGGAGTGAATCGAACAGTGACGAAAGTAGAGATTGTAGTGCGAGTGAGACGTCGGATAGTGAAGAAGAGAAGGAACATTTGATCGGGGAGCTAGAAACCATCACGGAGGAATTATCCGGTACGCAATCTGGTCAAGGTAAATAATGTTAGAAGGGATTGTGATCGTTAAGAGGTGCATGCGTCAAACAGGGATTAGATTTAGCTTTACTCGTTTTTAAAGAAGTAAGAAATCAGATAAATTGATATTTACATTACATAAATTTACAGTTTTTAAAAAAATTTATAAACTAGGGCTAGACAGAGACAAACGAGAGGTAAAAATATAATCTTGAACTAGTATTTTCGCCTTGAATGCATCTGATCTGATTAAAATCTTTTCCCATCTCTTTATATGGCTAAATTTTATTTATTTTCTTTACGGACTTGCCAATAAAACCACGTGAAACAACTACACTATTAAATAAGTAGAATGAAAGTATGAAACATATTATAAAACCTCACCAAATGTTATAGGGGTAAAGTGATAAGGTTTATTTGATAAACAACACGTTTTGACAAATCAAGAAAAACTGCCCAGCCTCAATTTATTTCAAATCTTACTTTTATACTTAGATATTCATTTGGAAGGAATATGGATATCAAAATAATTGTATAAGTTGAGTTAATTTCATGTTTTTATTGATATTTTAAACAAAAATCAGTAGAAACTTACAAAATATATTGGAAAATAAACATATAATCTATCTATTTATCTATCTAATTAAGCCTTCTTCGGTCCATCTTTGGACATAGACCTCCCCGATCCTTTTCCATTCTTCTCTGTCTCCCGCTACAGTCATACACCTAGAGCCCTCGTGCTTCTTGATATCATCCTCTGCTGCGTTTATATTCCTACGGTCTCCAAGTTATAAGAATTTTGTTCCATCGGTCTTCTTTTTATCTTATATTGTGTCCGGAAAATCTCCATTTCAATTTTGCAACTTCTTGTCTAACATCCCTCACTTTTGTTTTCTCTCTTATCCAATCGTTTTTTACGCTTTTGTAAATGTCCACGTTTGTGAACCATAAGTGAGAACAAGGAGTACGCATTGATTGCATACTTTGGTCTTAAGATGCTGTGGATATCTTTGCTTTTAAGAATGTAGCTTAGTTTGCCAAATGCCGCCCATGCCAGTCTAGCTCGTCTTTTTATTTCTGCTTTTGGTTTTCTTTGTTAAGTTTTATAGTTTAACCCAGATTATATAATCCTAAACTTATTCTATTTCATCTTGTGCGATCCTTATTTTGATGTCTTCATATTTATTTGTTATGATTTTGGTCTTGCTGTAATTCATATTAAGGCCTATCTTTCCAGCTTCTACCCAGTTCTTTAAACAATTTTTCTTTTTTATCGGTTATCAATACGATTTTTATCGGTTATCAATACGATGTCAGATGTCATCAGCTCACCTTAGATGGTTCAAGCGTTGTCCACAAAATTTTTATCCCTTTTTTTCCCATTCTAATCTTTTAAAAATATCTTCCAGAGCCTGATTGAAAAGTTTCGTGCTATTGTGCCACCCTGTCTCACGCCTCTATTTATTTGTATTGATTTTGTTCCTTCATATACTTTAATTGTTGTTTTTACTTCCTTATATATATATTAGCTATTAGTTCCGTATATCTGTGGTCAATTCTGCTCAAAGAACTTTTCACTGCCCAATGTTCGACACTGTCGAAAGCTTTTAGGGTAAGTTGTTCTTTTAATAGGTCTTTTTATATCTCTTTATCTTTATATCAATTTGCAAATACTATATCGGATGATAAAATATTATATTCACTCTATTCTTCTTTATGGTGCTGAAGTTTGGACTGTTAATGTTGAGTTAATGAGAAAGCTGGAAGCTTTTGACATGTGGCTTTTTAGGAGAATTTTGAAATCCATGGACCGATCATATTACGAACGAAATGGTGTTGCACAGAATATAAAGAGACAGAAAACTTTTGACCGCCATTAAAATGGGAAAAACAGCATATTTGGGGCACGTACTTACAAATGATAAGTTGTTGCAGCTGATTATGAAGGGTAAAATCGAAGGAAAAATCAGTCCTGGTAGACGATTAATATCCTGGCTGAAAAGCATTCACGACTATAAATCCTTTTATTAGAGAATTAACAGTAAAAATTTATGAATTAAAAAAACTCAATACGAATTAAAATTCACTTAAGTAAAAGTTCATATAGGACTTCGTGGCAATGAAGTTGCGGATTCATTAGCCAAATAAAGCGTTACAATTGGACATATCAAGAACAATAAATTTAGTAGCTCAAGAATATTTAATGATATCTTAGAGTAATTTTAAGGGAAAATTAGAATTGCACTGGAAAAAACTATTGCTTTAATAAGATTTAAGATTATGATTTTACAAGAAATTATATTGTGAATATTTGTTGGCTGAAATTCGGACATGCAAGCTTCCCTCAACACTTATATAAAATCGATGTAGTCAACATCTAATTTTGTGAAACTTGCAATGTGATGCAACTTGGATAACATTTTTATGCTTGTAGTACATTTGAAATACAGAAACAGGAACTTGTTAATAGTTTATTATTGCAAAACTTTCAATCTACTTCATTTGCTATCATCAAATATGTATAAGGTGTATAAAATTGTTCTAAGTTTATTAAAATCTGTGACTTAAAACTTAAATATAGCTGTTAAACTCGTTACTTCTGTTGAATCGCCACATATTTTACCTTTCTATTCTTTCTGTCTGAGTCACCGTGAATGACCCCTAGTTGCGAAAAGTAATCCTAGTTCCCCTCCCATTGTAGTTATTGTTTTAATTTTCAGGATAGAAGTCTTGTTAGTTTACTTAGAATAAGTTAAGTTAGGTGAAGGTTATTACACATTTGCATTCTGGCTGGATGGGCACTTAAGCCCGATTGTCAAAAAAAAAACATTCCAAGTAAGAACACGTTAGAAATCTCTTAGGCAAAGAACTAGAATTATTTTATTTCCAAATGAATCCGAAGTCTAAAAAGAAGCCTTTCTTTAAAACACTTTAAAGAAAAATATGACTTTTTTTTGACGAATCTAAAAAAACTATTTTTTGATAATTTTAAAGTTGACTAGGAAAATGTATTAATTTGAAACCTAACACAAGATGCTTTACGTGTATTGAAATTTCATTTGACTATGCTGTTAGTTGGTGTAACTTATTTTGCTATTACTCGCAAATAAATCGCCAACAAAAGGAGATTTAAAAAGGATAACTGATGAAAATGAGACTTAGAGAAAACTGGCAAAATACAAAATCATCTACAAACAGAGCAACGCAGAAAAATGGAGTGAGTCTACCTATAAAGTTATGAGCAATGATGAATTCTCCGCCAGAGAAATTTCCCTCTTAGTGATTAGAAATTTGTTCGGATTAACCACATGATAATCACTAGGTGCCAAATGTGGGGATTATGAAGAAGAAAATTACGGTTTGCTGAAATTACAGCGCTTCTTTCTATATCGAATAACGCTATTTTTTCTTATTTTGCGGCTACCTCGTGGCACCCAAAAATGAACAAAAAACAAAATTTCGAATAATTATTTCTTCGTAGGGAATCACCGTTCAAAATAAAACTCAAAAGTAATTCCCTAAACAATAAAATCGGATCTAAACCTCAACTATCGACAGTTACCTATGTTGTATATTTGGACAAGGGCCAAATCATATACAAATACTAAAATAGAAACCATAAGCCTCAATGATACTCTTCTGGAGCGCTAAGAGGTATATTTTTCGTTTGTTATCAGACGAATTCAGTTGAGAATTACCAACTGTACGTGGTCGATGTGTTTCAAAAAGTTTGTTATTATTAGAAGAGGAGAAATTTGTGTACCGAACGGTGATTTGTTTGTTTAATATGCGAAATGGCGTGTTTTAGTTGAAATCGTGTAAGTAAAAACCACTTTCAGACTTTAAATGACAAAATATTGAGAAAAAGGTTCGGTTCTGTCCTCTTTTCATCGCTATAATGAGTGATGCACACTTTTACACGATTATCTACTTTCTCGTTACTGTCTTATAGTCCCACAGTATATTTCACAAATTTGCGTCGATTTTGGATTAGTGATGAAGTTTTGACTTAACCCATAATGCCCAAAATGAAATTTTTATTAAAACGAAATCAAAACTTTACAAAGCAATAAAGATAGGTTGTTTTAATAGCAATATGCAAAATTTCTCTTTTTTTTTTTGACTTGTGATATATCATACGCTGGGCAATAAAACATTTTATTTTTATTAAAAAGAAACATTGCCGCATCCACCAACAGGGTATTAGCGGCGTTACTCAGTAAACAAAACTTTAAATCTGATACAAAATATTGATTGACCTTGGTTATTTAATAAGTTTTTTACGTGACAGTTTTCTTCTAATAAATCTGGTAGAGTATTTGGTATATTGTTTATTGAACGTTCTCTATGATATTTTGGACACTCAATTAACAAATGGACGATGGTAAGAGCCGTAGGACATAGATCGCACAGGGGGCGTTCACTGTCCGAAAGTAAATAAAAGTGTGTGATCTTAGTTTCTTAGTGTATCCTATACGTAGGCGCGTTAGAACCGTTTACTAGCACTAGTTTTCCACTGTCGTGTATCTGGTTGTAGCTATCTGAATTTAGATTGCGATAGAAACCATTCCATGCTGCCACTGACCAATCACTTTTTGTTTAAAAAACGTTTTGAGATCTTTATATACTCTCACGCACTAATTCAGATTCCGCAATTGCTGCATCACGAGGACTACTGTCTGCATCTTCATTGCCGATAATTCCTATATGCGAGGGGATCCATATAAATTTAGGAGTTATGTGATTCTCTTGGGCGATTTGTAGTTCAGTTTTTATTAGTTGCTCCAAGGGCTGTTTAGGATACACATGCTGTATTGCAAGAAGAGAGCTGAGCGAATCGGTGAGAAACAGAGGTTCTGAAATTCTTGACAGGTTTGCATGTTTTAGAGCACGGTACAAAGCAAATAGTTCAGCGGTGAAAACACTTGAGCTAGGCGGTAGTTTAAATTTGAAAGTAGACGTCGGAGTAACAAATGCACAATCAGTGCCATCATTAGATTTAGAGGCATCGGTAAAGATGTTTGTGGAGTTAAGGTAGTCTCGTGCAAGAATCTCGTTTAGTTTGTTTTTGATTAGTGTGTTGTTATTGCACTTTTTATGGAGAACTCTATTAGAGAGGTGTTGCAATTTGGGATGCTTATTAACCATGGAGTCGGATGTTGGATGTTACAGTGAAATACATCTGAAATTGTTCTGTCAAAATTATTCAGAATTGATCTTACTCGTATGTAATAAGGTTTTCCAGTACGAGGTTTATTAAAGAGAAAGTAAGATTATTTTTAGAAAAAGTATTTTCGAAGAGTGGATGATCCTTATGAGCAGCTACAGAAGAAGCATGGTTCTCCAGTTTCGGAATATAAGCTTTCTATGGGTGAAGTGTAAAAAGCTCCGAGAACTATCCGAAGTGCACGATTGTGGATTGTATATAACGGTTTTAGGGTACTCTTGGTTGCGGAGGCATAAACAATTGAACCATAATAGAGTTTGGATCTAATTAGTGTTTTATACAGGAGTAGTGTAGAGAAGTCGGAACCCCAAAAACGATTTGATACGGTTTAAAGCAAATTGAGTGTTTTGTTGCATGTTAGCGCCAAGTATTGTGTGTGCTTTTTCCAGGAAGTTGTTGATCCAGCTACGTACCAAGGATTTTCACGGAGTTTTGGAAGGGAATGATGCTGTTGTGAAGATAAAGGACTGGTATAATGGATGATTTTTTCGTAAACACCATACCAGTTGTCTTTGCAACGGAGAAATCGAAGCCTGTACTAGCTGTCCATTTATCTAGTTGGTTAAAAATGTCTGTACTATTCTGCACATAGATTCTTTTTGTGCTCCTTTAATGTACACTACTAAATCGTGGGCATAGAGGCGAGCTTTGAGAGGTTGGACTAAGGGTATGACTAAGTACCGAGTCTTGTGGGGTACCGTTTTCTGCAGTATAAAGATCATAATAAACGTTTTTTTAACTCTTACTTGGAAAGAAAAGTCTTTTAACAAATTTTCGATATAGGCTAAGCAGTGTCCTCTAATATTTAAGGCTTTCTTTGGATCGAAAAAAATAGCTTTGCACATTTGATTCATTGCTAATGCTTCTTGGACATCACTTTGTAAGTCTATGATATTGTTAATTGCTGACCGGTTACGTCTGAAGCCGTTTTGCTCTGGTAAGAAGAAATGAGATTTTTCCAGTGTCCACATAAAGCGGGCATTGACTGTTTTCTTCATTAATTTAGCCATGGCACATATTAGAGATATGATTCTGAATCAAGTCGAGGCTTTCTGGATTTTAAAAACGGCAAAATTGTGGCTTTTGCCCATATAGATGGATATTATCGTTGTTGCCAAATTTGATTGAAAATTTGCAGTAGATGTTTTGGTAAGATTGATACATGCGTTAGGAACACAACAGGAATATTGTCGAGTTCTGGACTTGAGTTTTTCATATCTTGTAAGGAGTCATTTAGTTTTATAGTAGTAAGAGGTTGAGATAGGAGGTTTTCGTGGGATTCTTCGTTGTTTTTCAATTTTGTCCACCAATTGACCCACATTATCCAAACGAATTTCGTCAGCAACATGTTTTGAAGATTTTGCATGTACTCCACGTAGCGTTAGAATATTTGGAGCTGTCAGCAGGCCTCCAACTAGAATGTAAAATTCTAATAAAGAAATTGCCTTGTTGTTGCGGTAAAGAAGCCACCTGTTGACTATTGCCCATTCAAGCAAAATCTAAATATAGCCCAATACCATTTTTTAGATCGAATTCGAATCATCTATAAACATCTTAGATTATCGAATAAGTATACAACGTCTATTCTCTTGTTATACATTTGTACAACGTTTGGTTGAGGGATCGCTATAAATTTTTTTTATTTTCTGAACCATTTGTTACAGTTTCCTATAGTAAATATTTCTGTAGTTGAAATATTAGTTGCCATAGTAACTTCATTATTGTCATTCCAGCGAACAAGAGTGAGCTGATGTTCTTCGCTATGCAGTGCGTGGGAAGTTCCACGAATTTGTTTTTTTATTTCTTTGAGTGGGGCTCTTTCAATCCTGTCTTTCCTAATTGTGCCGATACAGTGTATTTTTTTATCTCAACCTTGTTAGTAAAGGTAAAGATGTAAAAAAAGATCAATATAGATAACAGATTCTTATGATAAAAACCTTGTACACAGCTTTTCGGTTACGGAACTTCCTCACGAGCTACCCTGTAATTTATCTCCACTTCCAGTATAGGGATCAAATTTTGCAAGGTAACCTTTATTGGTCGCAACGCACCAGAATTTATATCAGTAACGGATGGGTTTTTAAGGTATTTCCGTACATTTTATTGAAAATTATCTTTTACAAAAACCTTCTCCTCTCAACAAAAAACGAATTATTTAATTTAATTCTTAATTGATGCCCATACATACAGTTCGACGATTCATTTGTATTAATATAGATACTCTTCACACAAAAATGTTCTTTCTCTTTATCTGAATTCTCTACTCCTAAATATTAAAGAAATACAATTGTTCTTCTGTTATTTACCGCTGATTTAACAGGTCAAGAAGATGACTCCAGCGTGGAAGACGATTCAACCTTGAAAGGACAGAAGAACCAAGTATGGTCCGAAGCTTACTCCAGCCAAGGCTCTACGTCAGATCTGTCTTCGTCTTCTTCGGAACACCAAACCAATTTAAGAGGTGAAAACATTAAATAATTGTTATCAAATAACTAAACGCTTTTTAGTTTTTGCTAAAAATATTTTTTGTATCCTTTGCCGCGTACATCATCATCTAACCGGTGGTGTCCATAGTCCAGGGAAATAGTATTTTTCTCGTGACACTGATCCGGACCTCTATAACAAGAAACTATGTGTTTACAGCAGTCGATTTTATGAACTTGATTAATTATTAATAAGTTGACGTCAAAAAACTTCTTCGTTTTATCTTTTGTCTCAATTAGCCTAAAAAATACTCGCCATTTTTGAGCTAAAATGCCAAATTCATTTTCAACCACATGTCTCTCTAGGCATAAACGAGTATTATAATTTTCTTTTCGTCTGTCCTTTCTAGATTGTTTGTAGGGAAAATGTCATATTAAAAAAGATTTCAAAACAAAAGCTTCATCTCCAATCAAAATGTGTGGACAAGGTTCTACTTGCCCAGGAAGATTTTTATTTTCAGGAGCATTCATTAAACCGGCCTCAAATCTCTGGCCCATGTTTAAATGTTCTTCTTCGTCCTGGACTGCGTTTTCCTCCTACATCAGTTCATGTAAATTTGTAATTAGTATCAACAATAGCCATCAGTACTATTGAGAATTTTTTCAAATAACAAAAATGATTTGACCAGGTTTTTCCAGGTCATTTTATAGTTACATGTTTTCCGTCCAAACTACCGATGCAGTTTGGAAATTGCTACATGTTTACAAAATCTTCAACTGATTTTTACCATATATCTGTTCAAGAAGATAAATAGGCTGTATGTAGTCTTTTACGTATAGCTTCACATACTTCATTTATAATTGTAGCAATTGTTGAAAATCCCACACGATAACTATGCCCCATTATACTGAAGTGGTCACATGTTGCTAAAAAACTAAAACAGTATATTTTTTTGGGTGAGGAACTGAAGAGAAAGTGGAGAAGTTTACGTGATTCATATTTGTAATACTTAAGAGTAATCAAAACAAGAACTGGGCAAGCTGTACAAAATAAAACATGGCAATGGGCTGAAAGTATGACTATGTTCCAACATGTCTTGCTTTTTGCGAAATTCTCTTCAAATGTGCCGGAAGTTGCGACTTAAATAGAGTCTCTAACTAAGAAAGATGATGGTATAGATGTTTTGGATAACGAAGAACTTGATGACGAAGATGATAACGAAAAAGGAAAGAAGTGAACTTGATGATCTATCTGAAGTACGAACGTCACTTGCGACTGTTGCAAAAAATTTAATTTGAAATAAACAAATAAAATAACTCTTAAACTATTTGACAGATATATATATATATATATATATATATATATATATATATATATATTTAAAACAAGCGAGGCTTCTACATCTGGCGCCGCTTCTCGAATCCCAATTTTCAGCGTTTTCTGTCGAAGCAATCTTCAGTTGTTAGATCTCTGGCGAATGCCGGATTTTCCGGCATTCTCTGAAGGTGACCATACCAGTTAAGTCTTTTGGCTTCGATTGTGTCTATTATATCTAGATCGATTTCCATTTCTCTCCGAATATCTTCGTTTCTCACCCCATCAAGTCTAGTGAGCTGGCAATATCGTCTCCAGTAGTTCATTTCAGTACAACCCAATACTTTCTATTATTGTTTTATAAATTCTTCTTTTATGTTTTTCTTGTTATTTTTTTATTCCATAATAGTCCGTGTAGCTGTCTGGTAGCTGATCTTGCTTGGCCAATCCTGGAATGTATTTCCTGCTTTTGATGTTATTTGGACGCAAGTATTTGACAGATTGCTTTGAAATTTTGATCATATGCTCCATGTAATATGAAGGTTCTAAGTTCATTTTTATAAGAGAGAGTAAAAAACTAAAATTTTTGACTTATTTTGCAATTTTCTGAGCAACAAATAAGAATAGAAACATTTAAAAACGTCATATTGAAGGTATTTATATGTCTTTTAGTACTCTTAAATTTATTTCAAATGCTTCATTTTTTGCTAACAGACGAAAAAGCGAAAAGTTGCCGTTTCCGGCCTTAATTTGTTAATAACTAATTAAGGTTCAAAATTGACTGCAGGACACATATAGGTTCTTGTTATTAGTGGTTCATATTACTCAAAACAACTATCGTTTCTCTGGTGAGGTCAGTTTCACGACAGTCACGAGAAAAATCTTATTTCCCTGGACTATTAGTCATTTAATCTTTTTACAAGTATTCATTGATAGGAATCTTTTTGGAATACCACTAATACCAGGCTCTCTTGATCTGCTGCTATTAACTACAAAATATGTGCCTAGAAATATAAAACCCTTTTCTTATACGAAACAGATAGCTCCACGCGCTGCAACAGCGACTTCCAATGGATCCGTAAGCAACCCACAGAAAGTCCGCCCCCTAAAATGGACGAGGTCGAACCCATCCCCAGTACCAAACCCCCTTTGAATCGCCCCGTCCGCGAGAAAACACCTCGCAAAGATAAACCAACGACGGAGAGCCTGGACCGGAGAAAAATGCACCAGAATAGAGCGGAACGAGACCACAAATCGCGATCGCACATTCTGAAAAGTCCTCCGAGGTTAGACGACTTCACCGGTGGCGGATGTCAAAGCTGGTGTTGCAATCCGCACGAATTCTGTTTCGATGGTTTCCAAAGAAGACACGAAAGGTTGGATCCTCAGAGGTACGGCAGCAATCCCACGCTGGAAAGAAACCAACATCAACGGTTCGCCGCTGAGAGGGGCAGTCATCCAGATATTTACGGAGATTTTTCTAGGTATCGGCACGAAATGCAGTGCTGTTCTTACCATATGGCCCCAATTGTTCCTCCTTGTTGCTATTACGGAGAAAGGAGTCACCATTGGGCTCCACCACCACCTTCTTACACTAAGGTACTAGGAAACTGTTTTTGTACCCACTAACATAGTCTTTAGAATCCTTTTTAACTAAAATTAAGGGCCTGTCTTCATTATTAACAGTACAGCTTGACATTCTATAGTGTTTTTTAATTATGTGGAGCAATGTTGAATTTGGGACATAATATATGGCATATCTAAATTGATATAGATGTTTTTTATGTAATTTCAAACTTTGGACCATCACTGTATATTACAAATTAGATTTTGGTCAACAAAATCGATAGAGTACATTCCGAAATCTATCATTAAACTGTTTTTATGTTCTTTAGCCCGCTGAAACGGACGAAAAGTTCAGAAAACTTCAGTATGAAAAAGATAACCTTCAGCTACAAGTTCAAGTATTGTCAGACCAAATCGAGGCTCAATCAGACAAGATATCAGACCTAGAAAAAATGCTGTATGAACGAAAACAACAGTTATCTGAGACTGAAGACAAATTACAAAGGGTAAATATATAATTTTTTGATCTTCAATATCTACCAAACAGAAAATATTTACCATTCTTTCATTTGTTTAAAATAATTTTTTTTTATTAAATATTCAGTAATGGTAACAAGAGGCATCCTTGTCGCACGTAATTTTTCATTGCAATTATCGTTTGAAAGATTTTGAGATATATTTTGATGAATTTTGTAATTTTGTTAGTCACTGAAGACTATTTCTTCGTTCGTAGGAAATCTTGTCTAGGTCCTCTCTAGAAACGCAAAAACTGGAATTGATGTCGATAGTCAGCGAGCTAAAGCTGCAGCAAGCCGCTCTAGAGCGCGAAAACTTGGAATTGCGTAACACTCACTACAATAATAACACCGATCCGAAGAAACCACCGATTATACCAAGAATGTCTTCTCAACCGGCACTTACGTCGACGCCGGTACAACATGGTGCTAACCAGGTCAGTATAGGTTTGTAAATTATATTAGAAACTGTTGTTACATATATCCATCTGATGGGAATCCGGAAAAACTTTAGTACGTGTACCAATATTTGTTTCGATTCCACGAAACATTATCTACTTTGGAAATTAGAGTACTTTCGAGATAGCTTTAAAGCAATATTGACAGGGTTTTTTGTTTCTTTAATTACAACTGAATTAGCTTCAGAAATAGCTTCAGAGCAGTATTTACATATTGTTTTCATTGTATGTTTAATTACAACGACTGGAACAGCTTCGTATATAGCTTCAGAGCAGTATTAACATGTTGTTCATTGCATGTTTAATTACAACGAGTGGATTAGCTTCAGAAATAGCTTCAGAGCAGTATTAACCTTATTTTTATTCAATGTTTAATTACAGCCACTGAACTAGCTTCAAAAATAGTTTCAAAGCAGTATTAACATTTAATACATGTTTAATTGCAGCGACTGAATAGAGTATCACCGTCTCCTAGTCCGGTGACGATAGCAGCTAATAGTTCAGGAAGGATAGACATGTCGGCGTCTTATCCAGATGCTCATCAAAGACCAAAGGTAAGATACTATACCCGCACTGAATTCGTCTTAATTATAATTTATTTTAGGCGCTTTTTGTCTATTTAGATCGTTTCTTTTCGTTATTTTCGCAGACTCCTCCCGCCAATTTCAAACGCCAGATCGACGTCCACTACGGCAGTCTTCCGCGTCAGCAGTTCCTGATGAACGGCAACGCGAGCGGCGTGGACAACAACGCCAATCCGGCAGCTAACGGAAATAAAAAAGGAGTAGTCTTCGGTAGGGGATTTTATTCTCTGGTAGGGGGCAGGCACAGGGGCTTCTCTGTACCGAATCTAGGTGATAGCTTTGGTCTGTTTTTAAGCATGAAACCAACGCAGCCATAATACACTAACCATCTGTTGTTAATATCGCGCTAAAGAAGGATGCCTGGATGTTTTTGATATGCTTTTAAAGTGATGGTAAAGTTTTTGTTCGAAGGGAAAAGGAATCTTACACAAGAGGATTACGCAGTTGCGGTTTAGATGCCGTTGTTTGGAATATTTCTTCCTGGAGTAACAGCAAAGTCAGAAAACCATAGAAGATAGCTATGTCTTCACATATTTCAGCAGTTCCTAGCTGTTCAGAGACACTGCCTTTCTCTCTTTCATTCTGTCTTCTGATCAGGCCCTCCTCCTCCTTAGTCTTAATCCCGGTGACACCATCAGGCATTTACAGTTTTTTCACGATTTCCCTCCATCCTTTTCTGTCCTGGGCTTCTGTTCGGCTTCATGTAACCCTTGGTTAATCAATATGTTTGTTTGATCTACCCAACGGCTTAGAGATCTTCCCCTAGGTCTCTTTCCTTCAACTCTGCCCTCGACTATCAGTTTCGATCGTACCTGTTCTTCTTGCAATGTGTCCAAAATACTGCAAATATCTCTGTTGTATTTGTTTAAACAATCTATCCTTTACTTTAAGTTATTCTAATATCGATACGTTAGTGCGATAATCAATCCCGGATATTCTTAACATGCGGCAGTATACGCACATTTCAAAAGCGTCCAGTTTATTTTTATCCGCATTTTTCTGGGGCAAGAGAAAAGCTTCATGTACTACATGAAGTAGAACCTTCCTTGCATGAGATATTAGGGTTACCGTTCTGTAGTTGCTGCAATCTAGCGGAGTTCCTTTTTTGAATATAGGGATGAAAGTGGATGTTGTCCAGTCATTGGGCCACTCTCCGGTTTTCCAAATCTTTTTGCAGATCATATGCATAACATTTACTCCAATATCTCCAATCTCTTTTAAAACTTCTGCGGTGATCTCGTCTGAGCCAGGAGATTTTTTATTTTTTAACTTTTTGATTGCTTTTTCTACCTCTGACTTTAGAATGCTTGCGTATTCAGGGGATCATCTGCATATACACTTTGACAATATTTTCTCCATACTTCCGCAATCCCTTTCTCGTCATTTATATTATGTTGGTTTTGATCCATTATTGTTTGTGTGATTGAAAAATGCATTAGAGAAATTGGCGGTATTTTCAAAGACTTTATTTTTCCGTTACTCTCTAAAACATATCAAAAACAACTAGGTTCTAACATGTAAGTACTTGTGAGTAACGTTTAATCCATCTCTAAGTTTATCCATGAATTGTGCGGAAACTAGACCTGCGAAAATCTCAGAAAATCGTAAAAAAAAACGCTTGTTAATGAGATTATCATAATTACCACTAAGAAACGTCTGGCAGCCATGACGTCATATGCGCCATCTTGAAAATGGCGTGGTCTATTGGACGTGATACGTCAGTGTTTCTATATTTTCTGACTACAAAATAAAAATCAATGAAGTCGAATGAGGGTGATTAACCATGAAATATTTTCTCAATAAGATCTATCATACCACAAGGAGGAGTTATTAGACAATTTTACGATAAAATCTCTTGTTTTACATGAAAAATGTTATTACGGTGATCAAATGGCCAAGACGTGAGGTGGAGCTCAAGGTACAAGTACAGAATAATAAACACAATCAGAATGCCCACTCTCCATGGAAAATTAAGTACGCGCATCTCGTTTGCGCAGACGTCCCGCCATGTTTTAAAGGGAACCAGTGTTGTTTATGTGGTGTGCATAGACAAAATTAACCCGGTTTAATTGACTTACGGCAATCATAGACATACTATACAACTATATTAACATTGTTAAATATAATAACATAAATATAATATAATTAAACATAAATATAAACAATTACATAACCTTTACAAATCATATGTCTGTGAGTGTGAGTCTTCAAAGGCGGCATCTGAGAGTGGGCATTCTGATTGTTTATTATTCTGTGGTACAAGTTTGCCAGTGAGAAAATTGACAGACTACAGATAAAAATCGACTTGACGTCTGACATATAACAACTGCACATTGAGGACGTGGCGTACCATTGTCTTATCTAACGCCATCTTGAAAAGGGCGTGGTTTATGATGCGATTGGATGTAAGACGTCATTGTTAAAGAGAGAATCGATTGCTGTGCTATCAAGATTGAACATTTTTTCATGCTAAAATGCCCCAACACTAAAAAATTTACTTCAAAATATTAAATGAAGTTGTATCAGTGTGATCTATCGTGAAATAATTTCTCATCAAAATCTAGCAAACCCTGAGGAAACATTATTTGACTATTTTTAAGACCCTACGAATATTAATTGCTGCTGCGGTCAATGTAAAAGGTTAAAAGACACCTTGAAGAAATTCAAACATGGTTAAGAGTCCTCCAATGTACTTTGTTCTAAATAAACCAACAAATTGTCCGCTTTTTCCGCACAATTCAGCAAAATAAACAAACTAAACAATCTCTAAAATCAAAAATCCGATCATGCTTTTGAAAACATGTTACCCCAACCTCATTGCATACTACAAAATTGCGATTAACAGTCTCATTCAATCATTCATTGATCTAAAGATAATTTTGTGTACTAAAACCGTAGTAATACTATATTTTTAACCCATTGCAAGGAACAAATTAAACGTAAGTGTAAAAAAATTGGTCTTGTGTTAATGCGAATTTACGATTTGTTTACTTTGAACCGAAGGGCTGCTTTTCACCATGGATTTCAGCTTTTTTGATCGGTGCACTTGAACTTTTTAACAAGCTTACTGGGAATGACCGCGAAGAAACTGCTGTACACCGTAGCTTTGCTTTTGTCATCTTGTTCACTACAGCTTCCATCGTTATCAGTACTATTGGTTTTGAACTGTGTGATTCCAATTCAATGTGTTACTGAGCTATGACGTCACTTTCTTTTGCGTTTGGTTTACCTATATCTTGAATTCTTGTATTGGTGAGAATAAATTATAGTAGCAATGAATATTTATCAAATGTTATTGTTAAACGTCACTAAATAAATGGCTTGCAACAAAAAAACAGGAAAATAAACAAGAAGATTGACAGATTGAAAAGAAGACTGATGACTACTGACCAATTTAACATTGCGTATTGATATGTCACTATATTTATTATGCTTTATGCCAAAATACGCTTAGATTCACAAAGATAACGCATAATATGCTTATTTTTAATATATCACTGCTTTTTTACTCAGCGGTAATACTTAAATTTTTCTTCTTAACATCATTGTGTTTATTTCACAAGAACCAATACACGAGTCAAAGCGGCAACAATGTCGAGGTGCTAATTTTATCTGTCATCTGTCAAACACAGATCTGTCATTGATCATATTGAACGCTGCCTGAAACTTCTGGTACTTTTATTGACTCAATGACTCTACTGTTTAGTGTATCATTTTGGTAATAAACAGCTCTTAAATAGTGAAATTATAATGAAAATTTTAATTTTCATATTATAATTTCACTTATAGCAGGCAGAAAAATTTAAGGTATTGCGTATCAAATATTTGCAGATCAGCAATCACCTTCATCGTGAGATGTTTTGCACCATATGATGTGTTTTACTTTTCATGCAAACAACGAAAAACTTTGTTGGTATGCTTAAAATATTACTTTTTATCACTTGAACGAATCATTCATCATTTTATAGATATATACTCTTAAAATTATAACGATTTAATTTGCCTACCACATTGGGTATCATTATAGGGCGTTGAAAGTGGGGACTGAGCAACTACTGGGCTGGAGATAGAGTAAATAAACAAACCGAAACGTTTGCCACTCTTGTTTTGGTTGGAGAGCTGGATAGTAAGTAAGTGAAGTTCTCGATGGAACACAAAATGGAGAAGTTCTGGGAGGTAGAACACTTATTCCGGCTTCGGATTATCCTGGATGACAACAAACTGCAATCTTGAAAACTCAGCCACTCATTTTTTTTCTTTAAACCATGTGGACCTCTCAAATGGTTGGAAATGCCGTCTTGAAATCCCTCATATAGGACACAGCACAACCAATTGGTGATTAACGTAACAAAAATTGCCAAATAGCATTTTGAGCCCAAATTTACCTCTTAACTTAAACAAATTACCGGCTTTAAAGACTACACGCTGAAAGCTATCTCTTCCCAATCTAAATTTCCTCTCCTCTAAATGTTACTACACTTCACTTTACATTACTTAATTCCCGATAACAAAAAACGAATAACGAAAAACCATTACGAATTTAAAAAAGAAAAATCCTGACTAAACAACGATCTGTCGACTCCTATCGTGGTCCCTTGAAGAGTGACATCATTCTACCAACTCGATATGAACAAAGTATAAACGGAAATATTCCTGTTTATTTGATGCGCAAAATCTCTAATAGGTGGAATCAACATCAAAAGAAATACCCATCTGTGTTATATAAACAAACTAAAAATGTTTATATTATCAATATCAGCGACGCAAAAGATTGAGAATATTTTTGGTGTTTTAACATATACCAGGGCTACAAAATAAGTTATCAAATGTACAAAGGTAACGTTGCTACATTTACGCGGCTTAAATACAAATATGGTAGAACCTAACCTATATTTTCAAGTTTTCTTCAATATTACAGCATTTTTTTATGTTTTTTCTGATATTAATGAATATAACGATTTACTGTTTTAAGAAACCATGAAAAGTAAATCATACTCATCCGTTGATCCTATTTTTACAATTTTTTTTAATGAAATGTGTAATTTGTTCCATTATTTTAGCGGAAACAGAAAAAGTCGTCATTGAAGACGGATCCGTCGAATCGCCCGGTTCTCCCAATATCTCCTTTAACAAATCCAAAGGAATCAAAAAGATTTTTGGGAAAATCAAACGGTCTGGCTCGGGCAATTTGGAGGATATTCCCGGTCTGAGCGAATTTCAACGAGGCGGCGTCAGGGCCACAGCTTCAGCTCGACTGGGATGGAGCGAACCACAAATCGTACAAAAGTAAGTTTTTTTCCAGTGTAAAAATTAAACCGCCACGTTTTCTGTTTTACTTTTTAGACCGGACAAACCTTTCAGCGAATGGGACACGGAGAACATATGCGACTGGTTGCAGGATCTGGGGCTGGACAGTTACGTGCCCGAAGCCAAGCGGTGGGTACAGAACGGGCAGCACCTTCAGGAGGCCTCTATCGGCGAAATCGAGAAGGAGCTGAATATCAAGAATCCGCTGCACAGGAAAAAGTTGCAGTTGGCGCTGATCGATACCCAAGCGAACGGATCCAGTGATCTTTATTTGTCACAAGCAGGTATGTCGATGAAAGATTTATAAATATTAACAAAGTTTTAATGAACGTTCTTAGAGTTTCATTTTACATTAATATCCATACTTAACCATATATAACCTCAAAATATACGACTTGGCGAAAAAAACTTTAGAAATACAAACAGTATTTAATCTATGACACATCTGATCTTTGATTTTTTTGAAGGGAAACGAGAATTTGTTCATCTGCCGAAAGAAATTCAGCAGCGAACATCTTTTGGTACTTTCAAAAGGCGCCTTGAACATTACTCTGAAAATAACTACTTATAACGGCAAAACTATTATGAATTTTCTGTTATGGATTGTTAATATATTGATTATATCTGTATTTAGCTCCGATTTTGTTTTATTTGTTGTTGAAAAGCTTTCGATGAATAAAGGGTTTCGAAGATGTAGAATTTTTTGTGAAGTTCCTTCCTTATTTGACTTTAGTAGGGTCTCAGAGTAAAAGAATGAGTTAACCCATACATACAGTTATTGTATAATTGAAATAGTGGTGGTTGTCGATAGAATAAAAAATCTTTTACACCATCTTCACAATGTTTTTAATCAGAATACTATGTAGGGATGTTGCGATATGAGGGTAAGTTGAAAATTTCCCAGCTTACTATTGGAAAAATCAGTATTTTTAATTTGAAAATTTATACTACTTTTAACAAAGTTTTCCTTTACTTCAATACACTTTATCCAATGTAACTAAATCAAATCAGCTCTGAAAGTTTTTTTAAAAGTTATGTTTCTGGGATTATGAGCTTTAGATTTTACTCAAAATCGATTTGCACTCAAGTTTTTTTAAGATATAGATATAGATAAATATCAGATGGAGTAAAATTTGGCGAATAAAGAGGATGTTCTAGCAATTAACACAAGAAATTTTGCAAATCTAAGGCCCCTTTATGATGAGTGTTCATCAAATGTTATATCTAAAAAAAAGTTTTTCAAATTTAAATCTTAGTGAAAATATTATTTCTTTCCTTCTGAGGTGCTACAGCCTTGGATGGTATTTAATCAATGTCTACCACAATTGGAACGTGTTGAAGAGAGAGCAAATAACTTTTTAAGGATGCAAATGAACTAATTGCACCCAGTTAAAGATGAAGAAGATCTAAGAAGCAAGAAGAATTGCGCTAAAAATAGAAAAGCGTAAGGAAATATAGTAGAAAATATACCAGAAATTGTTATTAATTTTAGATTTGATTCACATCAATGAATTTTTCAGATTGGGAGATAATTAAATGTCAGATGGAGTGAAATATGGCGAACATCAAGGATGTTGCAAAAATTAAGATTTGAAATATTCCAATTCCGATGCGCCTTTGTGATGATCATTCAATAAATGAGTTTGCGTTCATATCGGGCAGAAAGCTGTGTTATGCTAAAATCGTTAAAAATAGTGTTCCTCTTCTTCTGAGATTCTTACAGCCTTGGATGATATTTGATCAATGCCTATCACAATTGGAATATGTTGAAGAGAGAGAAAATAATCTTTTAAGAGCGCAAATGTACTATTTGCACCCAGAAAAAGATCAAATAAGTGGTAGAAGACCTAACAAGACAGAAGAATTTCGCTAAAAACAGAAAAGAATACGGAAAATAATAGAAAATAGGCCAAAAATTTCTGTAAATTTTAGATTTGGCTCAAATCAATGAATTTTTTCAGATTTGGGTGTAAATAAATTTCAGATGGAGCAAAATCTGGCAAATATTAAGGATGTTTCAACAATTAACATGTGAAATATTCCAATTCCGAAGCGCCTTTGTGATGATCACCCAACAGATGCGTTCTTAGCTGTCACAATGCTGTCTTATACTAAAGGTCAAGAAGCATAATTAAAGTTACCATTGCGGAAATTGGTAGAAAAAGATCTATGAAACGCAAAAACTAAAGCTAAAAATAGAAAAACAGAAAATAGAAAACACAAAAATACAGCACAAATTGCTGAAAAATCCAAAAATCGTCGTCATCGATGAATGTCAGTTGGAGCAAAATCTGGCGAATAAGGAGATCTTTAATAAAAATAGATGTTCTTCTCTTCTGAGATGACTTCAGCCTTCGTTAATATTTAGTTAATGGTCACCATCAAGAGAATGTGTTGAGAAGAAAGAACATAAACCTCTTAATAGCGTGCATTAACTATTTTATCTGTTTTTTCTAGGAAAACTGGATACAGCTTGGGTCCTGCGATGGTTGGACGACACGGGCTTGCCGCAGCACAAAGAAAACTTCCTTATCAATAGGGTGGACGGCCGCGTCCTTCACAGACTGACCATGGACGATTTGGCGCTCTTGCATGTAACGTCCATGCTTCACGTTGCCAGTATTAAGAGGGGAATCCAAGTATTACGAGAGAATAACTACGAGGCTGGATGTTTGCAAAGGAGGTCTCTGCCCGACGATCCAGATCCGCCGACATTTAAACAGATTTCTCTATGGACCACGCACAGGTAATATCAGTTATTCTTTCTATGTTCAAAAATACAGTTTACTTTCACATTAAGACCTGTTTCGGCATCTATTTGGGCCTTGTCAGATAGTGGCAGATTAAACACAGTCCCGGAGTGATAAACGCATTCTTAAAAAACCATTATCAAACTTTACGTTTTTAATTTATCGATACTGAGAAATTTATTTCAAAAATTACATTAGGGATGTATTACTACTGCAGTTTATGCAACCAACAAGTCACTTATGTGTTTTTGTTGCTTAATTTAAATCATAAATCGCAGGTTTATGAACACTGCAGGGTATGCAACACTCATGTCACTCGTATGTATTTGTGATTGCCTAAAACTGTTAAAATTGCATTTTTTATCAAATTTGTTAAAATTTATTAAATTTTCTGATCCAGATCTTTATATTTTTCACTGTCTATATTGAAATAACGACAAATTCAATTGAAAATACGTTTTTGGGTCCCATCAGACAGTGACAGATCAAACAAAGTCTCGAAGTGTGGGGCACTTAATTAAAGTGATGATTGTTGATCTTCTCAACCATATCCTTGTCGAATATATTTTTAACAGCAAAACAAATGGTTTTTACATTTTTTAGGTTGATATGTCTCAGATTTTCTTTTGTTTCTTCTGACTTTAGTTTCTGTATGTCAAGTGTATTGTTGTTGCGGCTTTTTTGCGTCTTTTTTAGTTGAAGTTGAAACCCAACAATAAGAAGACTGTGATCAGAGGATACATCTGCTCCTGGATATGCCTTTACTTCCTGAATTGACTTTCGATATCTGTGTTTTATTAGGATGTAGTCAATTTGATTTCTGACGATTTTGTTGTCTTTGTCAGCTGGCGATTTTCATGTATAAAGGCGTCGCTTAGGTAATTTAAAAAAATGTATTTGCGGCTATAACATTATGCTCCTGGCAAAATTCTATTAGGCGATCTCCTCTGTCGTTTCGTTCACCAAGCCCATATGGTCCTACATTAGGGTAGCATTTTCATTCGCCAATTTTTGCATTGAAATCACCTATGATCAGTGTTATATCTCTAGATGCTGTGAGATGTAATATTTTTTGAAGTTCGCTATAAAAGTTTTCTATTTCTTCTTCATTAAGTTCATTTTTCCATGGGTTGTCAATAAATAGCTGCAGCATTATAATTCTTTCGAACATCGGAACGAAGCCTGTTACTGATCTCGTTACTTTTTCACTGAGGATCATAGCAAACTCCATATCTGTGTTGAGTGTCGCTGCTTCCAGAGTAATACATCGTCCATTGTGTGTATTGAGTTCGCCAGAGCTGACCCATCTTGTATCGCTTATTCCTAATATATCGATCTCCAGGTCGCACCATCTCTTGCTGTATATTCCTCAGATTCCCAGGTTCGTACATACTCCTTACATTTCATGTAGCGATTTTTCAGATGGATTTGTATATATTTAGTAAACAAGGATTTCGCTGGCTCACGGCCTGGGAAGCTCTGTCGTTACTGTTGTTTCTTCCCTTGCCGAATCTTGGCATCCGAGAACCATGATTAGTAGGTTATTGATTGTCATTTCTATAAGCCATGACGATTTCTAGGAATACTCCATGAGTCTTTAATGCAGTGGTTTCCCGTTGCCTTTTGCATTCTTCTGCCGTTGACCAATTTATTGGTTCTTCCCTTTGGAGTCGATTTCTCAGTTCCACGACAAAAGAGTGTCCCACTACCGACCGACTCATCCGCCGGAAGCCATTGGTCGGTAAGCAGGGGATTGCGTATACCGACAATCATCGGTGTCTCACCTGTTGGTCCACAGGAGTTATTTTATTTCCCTCCTACCCACCGGTAAAACCGGTCGAGCATCCTCTATCCGCCACCTGGGGACGCGCTCTCTAGGAGTTACAGGTTCTCCCGAGAGAACCTTTCCCGGAGGAAAATTCCTTATTTTGTCCAAAATAACAAGCTACAAAAATCAAATATCGCTAATTGCTGATATGTTTACTGTTCGGAGGTTCGAACGAGAATTCCCAGTAGTTATTCTTATTAAAATTTTAGAGATTGCCCAGCATTTACTACTTAATATTGTATAATTTTAGGGTCATGGAATGGTTGAGGGCGGTCGACCTGGCGGAATACGCCCCCAATTTACGAGGAGCGGGCGTTCACGGCGGTCTCATGGTGCTAGAACCCAAATTCAACGCTGACTTGATGGCGGCGCTGTTGTCAATACCGCCGGGCAAAACTTTGCTACGGCGGCACCTGAATACGCATTTTAAAGAACTTTTGGGTAAGGATATTATCCAAGAAAAACGAGAGGCGGAATCGACGATGGGGTATGTTCCTTTGACTCCGTCGTTGAAACTTAAGGTAAAGGTAAATGACGTTTTTTTTTGTACACTTAATCGAAAAAATATAAATAACAAATTGTTAAACGTGGATTTGTACGTGCTTAGCAGGTTCAGCGATTTTATTTTAACGTTTTAGGTACCAAAGAAATCGCAGTTTTCTTTGAAAAGAAAAAAGTCGAAAGGGGAAGCCGACTACGGAGATCTGGTTTGTCCGTTGAATCCAGAAAAAACAGGTGAAATGACAGGTCTTAACAGCTCGACGGGTGTAAGTGACTAACTTCCTAACATCTTTAAACATTTAAGAAAGAGTATCGATGATTGACAATCTATAATAAGATTATTGAACGTCTTATAAATGTAATTTCTAGGAAAATGTGATACTAATAACACTTAGAGAAGAAAAAAATTGAGATACAAGTCTCTATGACGTATTTTTAAATGATATACCAATATATTTCAGTTTTGTTAGGTATATACGTTCCTAAATTCAACAAAATCACCATAAATAGCAAACAAATACTCTAAAATTGTAAAAGGAACTGTAATAGACGTCTTAGAAAAGTGCAAACACACAATATTCTAGAATTGTTGAAAGAAATTCCTAAATAACCATTAAAAAATTATATATTGGACATGTATAGATGGATACAGGATAATTTTTGATCCTTGTACCTATTTCTATTATACTACTATGTAAAAAATACTCTTTACTAAATGTTAATAAAGCATTACTTCCATTTCATATCTTCAATTTTTAAATATGGGTATATTTGAGTCGAAATTGTAAGTTATTTTCATAGGATATTGGATTTATAGTTTTATTCGTATGGAGCACTGAAATGCATTTCAAGATCATCATATTTTATTTCTGAATGACGAATTGTATAATATTTTCAAAATAATGTCAAAACAAATGGCGAGAATTATGAATATATGTTCATAAATTCAACAAAATCACCATAAATGGTGAACAAATACTATAATTGTAATAGGAACTGGAAAAGAGGTCTTATAAAAGTAAAAAGCAACAATATTCTAGAATTTCTGAAAGAAATTCCTAAAAATAAGTATAAAAATCAATATTGGACATGTTTAGACTGATAGGGAATAATTTTTTATCCTTTTTACCTATTTCTATTGTACTAATATCTATAAATACTCTTTACTAAATGCTAATAAAGCATTACTCCCATTTCTAATCTTCAATTTTTAAATATGGATATATTCCTGTCGGAATTTTATGTTATTTCCATGGGATATTGGATTTATAGTTTGTGTTCATATAGAGCACACGAACACCCTTCAAGATGAGCGTATTTCACTTCTAAATGACGATTTCTATAATATTTTCAATAGAATGTCAAGAAAATGCCGGGAATTTTGAAGATACGTTCCCAAATTCAACAAAATCACCATAAATGGTGCACAAATTCTCTAAAATTGTAATAAGAACTGAAATAGACGTCGTATCAAAATGAAAATACACAATATTATAGATTGTCTGAAAGAAATTCCTAACAACACTTATAAAAATCAATATTAGACATGTTTAGACTGATAGGGGATTATTTTTTATCCTTGAACCTATTTCTATTGTACTATTATCTAAAAATACTATTTAAATACTGAAACGCCTTTTAAAATTAACATATTTCACTTCGGAATGACAATTTGTATAATATTTTTGGAAGAATGTCAAGACAAATGACGAGAATTATGAATATACGTTCCTAAATTCAACAAAACCACCATAAATGGTGCACAAATTTTCTAAAATTGTAATAGGAATTGAAATAGACCTCTTATCAAAATGAAAACACACAATGAACCCGTATAAAAATCAATATTGGACATGTGTAGACTGATAGGGGATAATTTTTGATCCCTGGACCTATTTCTATTGTACTATTATCTAAAAATACTCTTTAGTAAATGCTAACAAAGCATTACTTCCATTTGATATCGTTCATTGTTACAAATGGATATATTCCTGTCGAGATTGTCAGTTACTTTCATAAGATATTTGATTTCCAGTCTATGTTCATATGGAGCACTAAAACGCCCTACAAGATCATCATATTTCACTTCTGAATGATGATTTGTATAATATTTTCAAAAGAATGTCAAGATAAATGACAAGAATTGTGAATATACGTTCCCAAATTCAACAAAATTACCATAAATGGTGCACAAATTCTCTAAAATTGTAATAGGAACTGAAATAGACGTCGTATCAAAATGAAAATACACAATGCTCTAGATTGTCTGAAAGAAATTCCTAACACACTTATAAAAATCAATATTGTGGACATGTGTAGACTGATAGGGGATAATTTTTGTTCCTTGGACCTATTTTTATTGTACTATTATCTAAAAATATTCTTCGTCTTCTTCAGCCTTCATTTATCAATTGTTGGACATAGGCCTCCTCCAATTGCTTCCATGCTTCCCTATCTTTTGCAATTCTCATCCACTGTTTTCCAGCTACAGCTGTTATATCGTCTATCCATCTCTTTTTGGGTCTTCCTACGCTTCTTTTTGTTTCTCGAGGTCTCCAGAATGTCACTTATGAGACCATCTGTGGTGTCTTGTCTTGCTACTTGCTACCCATTGCCATCTCAATGTCGCTGTTTTTTCCCATGATGTTGGTTACTTTAGTTCTTCGATGTATTTCGGTGTTAGGAATTTGTCTCTGAGCTTATATTTAACATGGCCCTCTTCATGGCCCGTTGAGTTACTCTTAATTGTTCTGCCATTTTTCTTGTTATTGCCATAGTTTCCAATCCATAAGTTGCAACTGGTAGTATACAAGTGTCATAGGTTTATGGGTTTATGGATCATGGGTTTATTATCTAAAAATACTCTTTAGTAAATGCTAACAAAGCATTACTCCCATTTCATATCTTCAATTTTTAAATATGGATATATTCTTGTCGAAATCGTAAGTTATTTTTATAGGATATTGGATTTCTAGTTAGTGTTCATATGGAGCACTGAAACGCCCTTCAAAATCATCGTATTTCACTTCTGAATAACGATTTTTATAATATTTTGAAAACAATGTGAAGGCAAATGACAAGATCATCATTATCCTTGTCAAGAAAGATAAGAAGAGTAAAACTAAAGGATTTAAAATCAGTGGTATTAACCTGAGAATACAACGCGGAAATACAGTCATTGAAATAAATAACAAAAAAAGGCAGAATACACAACAAACTTGTAAAAAAAACAACGACAAGAAAAGAGAACTTAGTGACCTTAATTGTGTAATAAACTGTGCTTAGAGTGTTCTATGTTCTTAAAAAGAGACTCTACAAAAAATAAATATATTAAAAACATAAAAAACCGCTTGCAAAAACCTCCAGCGTGTATATAAACGCCATTAGCTTATGTTCAGTAGCAGCTCTAAAAAACCTTTGATGAAAAATATAAAATAAAAAATTCTTTTAAGCTAATCTACCCTTCAAATAACTTACAACTCATCAAAATATAGGTTTAATACCCTTTAAATAATAACAGAAAACCCGAAGTAATGTTTTTAATAGTGTAGTGAACTGCATAATAACAACAATTGTTAACAGGTGTTGGTTATAAAAAACCTCCGTTTTTATTACATGCTTTCATGGACATAGATCCCAGAGATTTTGATAATTCATTGTTAAAGCTTTAAAAAAAGTTACTAAAGGCCTAATAGGTTTGTTTACAATTAAAAAATTAGGAAAAAAGGTCTTTGTAGGTTGTATTCGAGGTAAAACAGATATAAAGTGACATCAAAGCAAGAATAATAACAATTTCACAAGAAAAAACCTATTTTTGTTGCTTTCTATCTATTTTTGATGAATTACTGTAGCACATTTTTAATATAGGGGATCGTTTATTAGTTTATTATTAAAAATGGTTTTATTACGTCTTACCAGGTATTGAATGTGTGCTTCCTAATAATTACAAAGATCTTTTGCTACAAATATTTTTGAATTTGGTAGTTATAAAAATAAGAAAAAACAATCATTTAACTTTTATTCATTTATGATTAAATTTAGATAATCAGTCACGTAGATGGAATTCATGTTGCAGTGTATGCAACCATCATGTCACTCGTATGTATTTGTTGCCTAATTTAAATCATCAATCGCATTACAGGTGTATTACTACT